ATATTTATTCATTTATTTTTTATTCTAACTATTCATTTGATTAAAATTCGCATAGATGTGTGCTCATGCAAATATATGAACATATACACATATATCTAAACACTTTATGCATCCCCTCCAAAATGGTTAACACACCAATCAAGTACCATTTACTTAATTAACACATCAGTAATATCCAAAAATTACCACTCATCACAAAATTCCTTTTCATTCAGCTTACATTACAAACAGGGAATCCGAAAATATGCAAAAACAAAAACAACAAATTGATTGTGCGGCAAATTATAGCAATACTCTTGTCATCGCTTACATCGAATACAATATAGATTTGAGTACATCCAAATCCTACGTGCAATTAAATAGCGCGGTAAACAGCCACCCACTCACCCTACAACAACAAAATAATCCGCTACGTCAATGCCCCCGAGATGCAACTTAATCACATTTCAAATTAATTACATTCGTGCAAGTCACTGTAGCCTGAAGCCGGCCAGAGTGTTTTGCGCTAAACTCACCCTAAAATGCACGTATACATATACTCGTACATACATATGTACATATCCGCGCCGGTGCGTCCTCATGTAGAGTGCTGAAAAACAGTAGCAAAACGAAAATTTACAAAGATAAACAGCCTACTCTACCAACTTTGCTTCCACCACCGCTCCCCCCCCTATCGGCTTGTCATTTCCCTTAAATGACCAGTATTTGCAATTAAATCACCTTCATTGCTTTGTCATCAACGCCACTTAACCCATTATACATAAACAAGCAAATAAAATACATAACAGACTTGGAGTCATTAAGTAGAATACAATATAACAGTGGGTTTATGACACGCAATCACTAACTAACGCCAACACACTGCAGACCAACATACATGGACACACATGCACACACTCAACCATTGGCAATCGCTATGATTGCTCGGGAATAAACGAATGAATTTGTTTCAAAAGAGCGCGCGCGCACGCAATTCTCATTCGAGTCATGACTGTTGAGGGGCTTGACAGACGAGGCAACACAATAAGTTGAAAGCACAATAGCCAGAGGAAAATAAATAATATTATAACAGTAGTTGTGTTAATAGCAGCAGCTGTAAAAGTGTCAGCGACAGCTATAGCAACACTTAAGAATCGGCTTGAAGCCAAAATAAAAGCGAAGCTCATCAACCTTTCACAAAAGCTCTATTAATGAGTGTAATTTTTTGCTTTCTAATTTTCTAATTTTTTATTGGGATTTTTTCTTCATGAAGTGAAATCTAAATCAAGCAGTTTTAGTGCTCATAGTTACCGTTATCAACATCCTTGAAGATAGGCGTCAATCCAAATTGAATTGGCGTATTCTTTACCAACATAATAATTAATGCGCTTGTTAGCTTAATTAGCATTATTGTGAGTATTGGCAACTGAAAAACTTTTCAATTTAAACTATTAAGAAAAGAAGAGCGAAAACTGTTTCCTTTACTTTTTTCTTCGAAATGAGACGAGCTCTGAAAGTCCGGCCTGCTGTAATGTTCAAAACTGTGAGCAAACAGTATTTGCCTGACTCTTAACAGCCTATTTTTAAAAAATGTATTATATGCATTTAGTCAGTTTAGGATACTTTCACTCCTCTTTCTTACACACTCATCTTCCACATAGTTAGGAATGGTTTATGGAAATAAAGATGTTGGAAAGTTGCTACGGAGAAGCACAGGGTTTTTCAACAAGAGGTTTTATTTTGATATTCGAAAGAGGAAAAGGACATTTTTTGAGTGGCTACTGTGGGCTTCATTAATTCCATATCTGAGGTCTTGAATCGACATTAGATTGTTGGGATAGACTTTATCTTTGATGTTGCCCGAAAGGAAGAAGTCACAAAGATGTAAATTACAGATCAAAAACATCCATTTCCGGCCACAGAATATCAGTAACAATCTTACGATAGCGCAATCCATTTACCCTAACTGTGGTTTCAGCCTCATTTTCAATAAAGCAAATTCTAAAAACTCCCGCTGCACAACGATGAAGAGGTTTTTTAAGAATAAATCTTGGGTTTTCCGAGTCCCATATGCAACAGTTTTGTTTATTGACAAAACCATTGAGGGGGAATGGGTGCTAGCAGTCAAAATGATTTTTCTATGAAATTACGTACATTTCAAGTACCCAATAAGCAAAGAAACGACATTGTTGATGTTTAGTCGGTTTGAAGTCTTGCGTTAAGTATGGTTTATTGTCGTTTGTGGAATGTCCAATTCGACAGAACGACGAGGAAGGTATAAACACTTGGTTTACAGCAGCAACATTCGCAATTTTTCTCGAGCGACGTGCACATGTTTTATTCTTCACATCGCTAATTTGTCCTAACAGCTCCATTTTTCCACCAATTTCTGTACTTCGGTCGGACAAGGTTCTTAAAACACAATATTTGAAATCCCCAACACAACCCCTCATAGTCACCCTTATAATAAAACAAAATGGGCTACTACAAACCAGCCTCGGCAACCATCTGAACGAAGTTATGTTTGGTCATTAATGGGAATAATGAGGCAATCCAACTAGGGAAAAAACATTTAATAAATAGAAAACTGAAAATTTCGGTCGTGCCCTCCTTATAACACGGACTTAAGGGGTACCTTAACCAAATAATATGACCACCGTCGATTGTAGTTTTCCACAGTCATATAAATGAAAGCATCGTCATTGACTAGGATAATATTTTAGGATCAAAAAAATTATTTTTTACCAACATATAGACAGTTTATTCTAAGCTGTCTGTGAACGCCCTAAGGGTTCTTATGAAGAGCTTTGCTTTTCGTGTCAGAAATACGCTCGGAGGGCTTAGTATACCCTGCCCAGGGATGACTGAAATAAGAAAAATTAATTTGCGATAATTTTGGATGTTGGTCGAAACAGGCATCTTACCCGGAGGGCCATGGCAGTTCGCAATGCTAACCGAAACTGATATTAAACTAATTTTAAAAGAATGGATTCAATACCAAAAATGGGTATATAACAAAATGTTGCCTCCGTCAAAAAATAAAAAAAGAAGCAAATGTTGCCACTAAGTCCAGTATATATATGTACATACAAAACAGTCCGAACAGCTAGAACTGTAATCAATTTTAAGTACATCAAACAATTGAAACAATTTTGTTGTTATTCTAATTGGTCCATTGGCCAGTTTAAGCGCCCTCTCTACTAAAATTGGTGGCGCTCAAAGCATTTGAATTAATCCCACTTCGTTTATACATACATACATACGTGTATGTACACACAAATGTATACATTTAGTTAGTTGTACTCGTACATGCCGCCGCTAATTGCATGCGCGTTAATTGATTGCCAGCAAGCTAGCTGCTTACTTCCCTTCTCTGGCGACTGTCCACCACCTGTCTCTCCTCCGCGCTCATATTATGTGCGGCACTTGTTAGGCTATTAGCGAGCGCCACCATTAAACTTACTACTACACAGAAACACATATCATGTATGATGTACATCAGTTTGTATGCCGTTATACATGGAGCTAATGTCGCCGTCGTTTGCTGCCATTTGAATTGCTCTGTTTGATCTCATTCGTTAGTTAAACGCATTGGTGTAAAAAAGTGTATCTCGCACGGATGCGCGATATTATTGTTGATTATTTTCTTGTTTTTGGTTTTTTTATTGCTGCTGTTATTGTTGGTTGCTCTAGTGTCGGTATCGTGATTCGCTTTTGGTGTTATTCATCTTTTTCACGGTTTTGTTGTTGTTTTTCCGCGCATTGTGTTATATTTTAAACAAAGCTCAGCTCAATGCTATCCGAATTGTGTTGTGGTGAATACTTCGTATGATAAAGAATATAGTCCAAAATGTTGTGGCGCTGTGTATACCGTTGTATGAGTTTATGCAAGCGGTGCATGCGTTTACACGCTTTTGTATGAGGAGCTGCTTTGATAAAGTATATGGTGTTGTTTTGGTGTGAATTTCATTTAATTTTCCAGTTGAAATATTTTTAGCGAATTTTTTCGTAGTCCTTGTTGTGAATTTCACACATTCTATTATTACTTATCTCAAATCTTTTTTCCCAATTTGCTTTTCTTTATTTTACTAAATCGATTTATTTGTTTTCCTTAAATTATTTAACATTACATTATAATTTTATTTTATTTTATTTTATATTATTTTATTTTATTTTATTTTATTTTATTTTATTTTATTTTATTTTATTTTATTTTATTTTATTTTATTTTATTTTTATTAAATTTTGACATCATTTTATTTGTTTTTTGTTAATATTTTTTTTCTTTTTAAATGTTATATGAAGTTCACTTTTTAACGGGTGCTCGCTTTTTAAAGCTATCACTCGCCACCAACAGCAACAAAGTTAATATCACGAGAATTGACTCACTCCGCTCAGCGCAACTTAAGTACGCTTCGTTAGCTTTATTGAGTTGTCCGCCGCGCTCAAAGACGACCACGTTTAAGTGAGCATATGAACGTTCGTCAATTAGTCACTTAACGCGTTAGCAGGAATTACGTACATAAGAGAAAAATGAAGAAACGCCTATTAAAATAATAGTAAATACGCCGACGGCAGTGCAATAAAAGCGAATTTACGCATATTTAAAAATAATTGTGTTTGAAAATTGACATGTAAAAAGAATAATGTTAAATAACTCTCTTTTTTATTTTATATAATTCTTTTCAACAGTCTGAAAAGCCGTCGGTTGGACAAGCGGGAAAAAGATGTGTATGTAAAGGAGTATGAGAAATGAAGAAAAGAACTAAATTCAAACGATTTAAAGAAAAGTAGAAAGAGTTAATATAATGCAAACATATTTGTATGGAAAATGAGATTGAAAAATAGAAACAAACAGTTGCAGTGCTAAAATGTTTTAAGTGCACTGGGGCATATGAGTGACGACAATGAAAATTTAATTGAAAATCAATTTATGATAAAATATAAGAATAGTAACCTACATTTATAAAAAGTGTTTAAAAAATTTTAAAAAAATAATATAAGCAGTCAATCGAATAAAATACCATTTATCTATTAAATGATTTAATATTATGTATATATATTACATTACATATATATACTCAACTAGTGTCATCAGCGTCTCGTACCTGTGTGTAAAGTCTATATGAGAGTTTTTATTTTACAAAAACAATTAATATTTATTTTCGACAACGCAGCGTCAGTAACATACACTAATTTGAACTAATAGATGTACAGAAAAAACTGTGAAAAAAATAAAAATATCATTCACACTTGAATATATATAAATACATGCATACATATGTAATATGTCTGTGAATGAGCGAATAACCGTGGCCTGTAAAAGAAATTATATCCTTTTTTTTTAAACAATTCCTAAAAAGTATAAACATATTAAATAACAACCGGTTATAATTAGTGAATAAAGTTGTTCAAAATGCAATAAATGGTAAATTAACAATTACAAGGTATAAAACGAGGTGCAGAAAATCTGGATGTAAAAAAGAAATTGAAATAAAAATTAAAATTATATATATATGAAATTTAAACCGTGTTGGTTTAATAATTGGCAAGAGTCAAGCTAAGCAAAAAAATAAATGTGGCGTAAATGGTAAGGAAAATACGCAAAAACATAAAAACAATAACAACATTTATATAAATAATAATTTCATTTATTCCTCCTACAATGGCGATACAACTCGACGCAACGCACCGCCCGCAATGGTGTCAATTTTAATTAAGCAAAGTATATTAATTTGCTGCTTGTTACACTAATTAAGGATAATAAGCTACAGCTACAAGAAATAATTAGAACAGCAGCAACAGCAACAACAAACCACAACAATCTATTATCGAATAAAATCAGCCCACAGCGCTCGACAGGTGATCCAAAAATAATTTATAAAGAGACAAGGCACTACTAAAAAATATATAAATAAAAAATATAAAGTCAAGAGAAATAGCAGTAATAAAAGCAAAAGAAAAGAAATTATAACAAAACAACAAATTTATACAACAAAATAAATTTGCTTCTAAAAACAGTATAGTGAAGTTCATGCGATTACTTAACATCAAAGCGTAATGAAATAAAAGTGCTTACATACATTCGACAGACACGCTTACACACACACACACACACTCACTGCCAATGAACCTACATTAAGGATAATACTGCGCTTGGAAAGCGCACAAAGAGTCATTAAAGCAGCAGCGTGAGCACCCAAAGAGCACCTTTATAGAGCAGCAAGCATATGAAACTGAATGCAAGAGAGAGAGAGAGAAAGTGTGAAAGTGTTACCAACATAAATATATTAGTACTTCGCAAGTGTATACAGTAACGGGATACTCGAAATTTGTGTCAACTTGCACACATTGTTTGCTTACATAACTATTTTTGGCCTTTTAGCATATGTGCACTAGAAATTTTACTAAAGCATAAGACAGAAAACACAAATCACAAATTTCAAAGTGAATTTCATATTTATATCAAAAAATAGCTAAACCCAAGTTCATGTCAGCAATAATGTGCATTAGAGCACCACAAACAACAGTTTTTAAGCGCAATGCTTCTGTATGACAGCTGAGTTGCATCGACAACAACAATATTTAGTACAGCAGTTGACTGTTGACAGTTGACTAAACAAACTAATTAAGGTAAGTAAGACAACATTAAATGGATAGGCAGTTTATAAAAAAAAAAAATAATTATAAAATAGTTGATTACCTGATATTGAGATCCTGCAAGACTCCCCACAATTAATAAATCGTATTTAAGAAAACTATTGTATATAATAATAACAACAAATATATCATATTAATAACATTCCTAGAAAACGGTCTTTAAACGATAACGAAGCTAAATTATTAACTTCCGATTTCCGACTTCGTGGTTTCAAAAGTATAGGCCTATATTTTGACAGCTGTCAAATTAAAGCGTCGAGTTAAACATGTTTTGTTTTAGTTAATAGTAAAACATTCTGTAGTTGAGTCGCTTAAGAACATCCGAATGTGTTTCCAATGTGAGCTTAAAGAGCTGGGCTTTTTTACGCCACATTAAGGCACATTTTTCACTTGGACTTGCATAAAACGACAATTTTGTGTGAGTTTACAAAAGAATGATTTTAGGAGCATTTTATTTTCGTTTATTTTTGTCATCATTTTTTTAATAAATTGGTTAACGTGTCATCAAAATTTAATTAAATTATTTTCTTATGTATATATATATATATATATACATATATATATATATATATATGAGCAAATAAAATAATAAATAAAGAAGATGAATTAAAAAATATGTACATAAATAATATTATAAACGGAAATTTTTATGACATCTAGTGATCATATTTCGGCGGTGTGTTTACGTCTGTATTATTTATGCATATCACTGAAAAAATGTTTAAACCATACGAGTCCAATGGAGTAATCCAATAGATAATCCGCTGTAGTCACCTATTGGACCAATTGACAGCCCAGGGCTACGCAATCTAAATTGGACGATTATATTTGTATAGATTGTATATGGATAGCTTTGGATTACTCCATTGTCCGCGTGGGATATATATTTCACACGTGTATGGAGTAGTCGGGTTGATTGCAGGGATATTCACTGCAATACATGACACTCAGTCATTGATTTTATCATTTCAAAATATATAAGCATATATATTTATTTGAAAAACCATAAAATATGATATGATAGCGCGGCGCCTACTTATAATTACCAAGCCCAAAAATACATATAAATCCATTTTCGATCGTGTAATTTCTTTTTTAAATGTAAACAGAATAAAATGAATGGAACAGAAAAAAAAATAATAAAAATTAAAAAAAAAAAATAAAAAATCAAACAATTGGTGGGAGGCGCTCTATAAGACTTTGCTATGCAAAAAAATGTTTTTAAGACGTATCAAAAGTTGTGAGAATTTTAACGAAAAAAAAATTCTTTACGTGTAATTTATATTGAAAACAGTGCTCACTGACACCTTTAAAAATTGAATAAAAAACCTGGTATTGTTCTCAGAAAATAGCTTCATTTCAACCAATGACCACAATAGTTTAGACTTTCGCTCACCCTAATGTTCCCGTAGTTGAGCCCTTGTCACCGTCTATTTACAGCAAATCTAGGTAGTTTCAATTTTGCTACAAAAAAAATTTGTTCCCCCGACAGCTTGCACTTTGTGCACTGTTAGGCTCTTGCTTCCACAAAAAATGAGTATAATTTCAAATAATAAAAAAAAACTGAAACGCCACTCGCTTCCGTACTGCAACTAAACTTTGTTCTAAATACTCAAGATATAAGCATTTTTTTCATAGTAAGGGTAGCTTAATAGAAAAATCAAATAAAAGTTGTACACAAAACGTAACCGAATTGTTAACATAAACATAACACAATCACTAATCACTCTATATATTGGCGAAAACCGCATGAAAATCCGTTTAGTGGTCTTTGAGTTTATCACGAACAAACCAACAAACAGACGGACTTGGATTGAGACTTTGTTTTATTATATACGAATATATACTAGCAAACACAGCAAACTTCACCTCGCCTTAATAATACTCCTTTATATTACATTAACAATGATAATACAATATATGTATATAGTTCAAATTTTAATTTCAATAAACTAAATTAGCAGAAAGCAATATGGTAGTAGGCAAGCAAGAACAAACAACAAAGATGGTTTGTCAATGGAAAATTGTCATAAAATTAAAAATAAAATAAAATTCACGCATATTGACCTACCGAATATATGCATAAAATTTCATTCAAATCGATCAAACCGTTTCGGAGGAGTATCTTGTCCAACTCTGTGACAGGAGAATTTTAAATATTATTTAGATGTAGGTATATCGACATATAATTTGAATTCGAATACTATATATTTTATATAACAAACAAACGTCTCACTATAAATAAACATACACACATACGAGCTTAACACACAAAATATTACAATATATATGAATTTATAAATATTTCCACATAATTTATTTATTTTCTTCATATTTAGTTCCTTCCCGTATATGAAAAAATAATCGCTAAAAATGAACATCATTATGCATACATACATACATATGTACGTAGCTATAAATTTTAATATGTCAGGCATGTATAGAAAAATTATTTGTTTAAAAAATATTTAAATGGAAATAAATGCTTTCCATTTATTTTTATTACTTTAAGTATTTTTTGTGGTTTTTTTCTTTTCTTTTTTATTTTAATAATTTTTCTTATCAGCGCTTTCATCGCCGTCGGCTTGCGTTTGTGCGACCAAAACGGCAATCTGCTGGCACTGCTTTGCTCACTCACCATACATACGTTTTCTTAAACATATTTCCACTTTTGAGCATATTAAATATACTTGTATGTATATGAAAAAAAATATTATTTTAATACATACGGTTTCTCTCCCTCCTCATACTTCTTGTTGATTTTTTTTTTATTGCTGGACTTCAATTTGTGCTCACTAATTAATCATTGGCGTTAAGTTTCTGGTGCGCTTATTTATAAGTTGTTTTTCTATATTTTTCCCCACTTCCTTTCCTCTCACTCACCTCATCTCCTCTGAGACGTAATTCCAATTAACTAGCAATTAAATGAGTGTGTTATTTATTTATAAACATTTGTTTCAAAGTTATGAAGCTATTAAGGCAAGTATGCTACATGTGTACATATGTACGAGCAAGTATATAATGTGCTGAATTGATTGAAAAGCAAAAAATTGAAAATTTATTATAACAAAAAATTTTTATTAAAAATATAAACCGAACTAGTTGAATAATCATTCGAGTTTTTAATGGAGATATCTACATACATACAATTTGTTGTTGTCTAAATACGTGCAATAAGTTGTAAACTTTTAAAAATATGTATGCATACGAAAACATTCATTAATCATTTTCTTCGGTAGCGTAAAAGCAATGCGAAGTGAAACTTATGAAATTCAAATGGGCGGTTCAAGTTTGAGTTTAGATTATATTTTTAAAAATTCATGTACACATACATATATATGTGTTTATATTTTTTATTATATATATGTGCATAAATTTAAAAATTATTTTCAGTGTAATTAATAAAACTGTCAAACATATTAAACGCCCTTAGAAATGTTTTTTTGGTGGAGTGAAAATTAGCTTTTATATTTCCGAATTTGGCAACCCTAGTTTTGCAATATGGTAAATCCCAACGTAATCTTGAAGTATGACATTTTTGATGTTACGCATTCAGAAAACGTTAAGACATAAAAGCGCTATTTTTGTTGTTTACAGTACATCCACAGTACATCGATGAACTTAATTCAATTTTTGACGATAAAGCTTCTTCACAAGGACGAATGTTTAATTAGGATTTGGCGAATTCAATCGAGGTCGTCGATCACTCCAAGATAAATATCGTGAAGGTCGTTCAAAATCAGTTTCTGTTCCGAAAACTATTAACGCTGTGTGCATGCTGATGTTGCAAAATCGCCATGCCATGGGGCAACTAAAGAGATTATTGAGCCCGGATAAATTCAGTATTGTAAGACCAAAATTTGTTCAGGTTGGATCTCACAAAACTTGTCATTCCCTCAAAATAGGGCTTGTGTCGACTGGCAGGGAGAAATGTTAAAAAAACGCTATAGTGTTGCTTCGAAACACGCCTATGACATCGTGACAGGTGATGAATCGTGGATTTAGGCGTATGAGTCCGAATGTAAACAGCAGTCGACCGAATGTTTTTTAAAATGAGCCGAAACGAAAAAAAGTTGTTTGTGTACGAAAGCACAAACCTAAGCTGAGAAGTCAACGGTTTGTGACAGCAGAGGCGGTTGATACGTTCTAGTCGCATGCTTTGAAGAAAAATCAATCAGAGTGGCAAAAATGCTTCGGCAATAGTATAGATATTGACAGAATATATTATATTTAAAACAAAAGAAAAAAATCAGTATGTTATCACACCAAATACTTAATCTTAATCAGGTTTCAAATAAATGTCCAAGAGAATGTAATTAAAAAATCTAAAATTTGAGATAATACTCAAAAACTACCAGTATTTTTAAACAGCTGTCAACATTTACATATTTACATGTACATGCATACTTATTTTATAATATGAACCTAATTTGCAACTGACATATAAATAATAGAGTTAGGAAAAATAAATGGCAGCTTATTAATTCGATTGCCTTGTAAAGTGATTGCTTCCCGCGTTCACATGTATGAAGGCCAATAAATTTACTTATTTACATACAAACACACACTTATCTGCACTTGCCTTAATCGATGGATATATGCTTGTTAGTGCATAAATGTGACAGGTACTTAGCGCACATTTGGTAGAAAAAAATATAAAAAAATATATATTCATTAGTAATCAGTAATAGATGGTGTTATTGTAGTCGACGAATTGATATAATTGTTCGTACACACATACATATATACTCTTATATACACACATCTAAAGTAGTCACAATGAACAATAATAAATACATAGAATATTGTCATGAAATCATTTCGATCGCAATGCAAAGTGTTATTGATATTATTTAGATATCTATATTTGGACAAATGTGTATATGTTAGTGTGAATTAGTAATAATTATTTGGAATTGCCTGCATAAATAAAAGTAAAAATAAGAATGAAGAGCTGTACTCGGCCACGTCGA